TATCTTTACTATCATCATTACTTGTATGTTCTTCTAAGGTTTTGGGACTTGATTTTGTTGCTCTTAATTTTTTATCTGTCAATGTTACATAAATAATTAATGGAAAATCATTTAAATTTGTTAAATTTGAATTAACAAATCTCGTTAACCATGAAGCATCAATAATACCATTTGGCTTTTGTTCCCGTAGCAGAAGCTGTTTAATAATATATAAATCAGCAGATTTTTTACCAAGTGTACCAATAACTGAACCAAATAAAAACCTAAAATAAGACGATGGTTAAAATATAAATTCGTCGGGGACAGTATGAAACAAAGGAAAAAAGTATATCGTTTATTAAAAATAAAAATTTATTTACCTCTCAATAGCATTACCAGCTTCAGCAGATAAAGCATGAGTAGCTGGTGTGTTAAAACACTCATGTTTTTTATTCAACTGCCGACGTGTTGACATCATTAATCGACCACTACGAAAAATACAAGCATGAGCAATTTCATGTAATGTTTTTGCAAAAATAAAAAAAATTTGTTTAGCTATTGTAGACGATGTTGTTTTATTTGATGCTTCTAAACTAATTATACCATTTATTATTGTTTTATCATATTGAATAATATCATCTTTTCCTGTTAATTCAGAAGAATAATCACCTATGAAATGACTATAATTATCAGGTAAATTAACAACATTAAATTGAAGATCTTGTACTAATTCACACAAGAAAGATTTAATACGATGAGAATATTGTAAAGATTGTTGTTTGTCAAATATATTAACAAATCGTAATTCAGGTATGATTACATGTGAATAATAAACATTTAAATTTGGATTGATAATTAAATCTTCAACTAAATGGATAGCTTTAATAAATGATGATGATTGCAACAGTAATGGATCAATTCGTTTCGAATTGAAATATTTAAATTGAAATTCAATTGACTAGAAAATAAATTATTAAATATTTTTTTTATTTTTCCAAGATAAATTGCCTTTACCGTAGTTGTATCAGTTGTCAGAGTAATTGTTGTTGTTGTTGATGATGGTTCTTCATTTTTAGATAAAATTAAAAGAAAACGAAAGAATTTATTAGTAATCAAAAAAGAAAATCATTTATATCTACTATATTCTTCTGAAGATGATCGTTTTCTTTTAGCCATGATTAATCAATAAGTAAGAAAAAAATTTCAAATCTATAAACAGGAAAAAAAATTAAAAAATAGATTCTATTGGATTTTGAACATAGCTCTTGCACTAGTTCATATAATTAACACACCTCACAGCACTGAGTGAGGATGACTGATTGTGTTTAAAGTAAAATAAAAAAATAATACATTTCCACTTTGTTAGGCTCGTCAATAGACATTGAGTCTAAACTGCACATTTTCTGTAGCTCAACTTCCAATAAAACAAGATTCATCATCAAACAAAAAAAGATATATCTATACTTTATTTGATGAAAGAAAATCGCTAGATACAAAATGAGAGCAATCAGTGAAAACGGACAGTGTAAAAGAATAATGGTTCAATTGAAATATTTCAATGAAAGCCAATTGTAACCATCGATCAATGGATCTTTACGAAAAAGGTCAATTTTTCTTAACATTATCAAGATAAAAATTGATTTTTCTTAGATTAAATTAGTATAGATTATAAAGATATTTACCAATAGTAATACATACAATGAGGTCGAAGAATCTATAATAATAAAAAATAATCAAATCTAATAGAAATGTCTTTAATAGAACATTGATCTATTTACTCGTTTTTCAGCAAGCATACCTTCTTTAACATCATCTTTTTCATTTTCACATAAATATCGATGAGTACTTGTCATCATAGATGTCCATGGCGGCAAAAACATTTTAATAAGGTGACGCGGTGCAGTAGATTTTTTAAAATACTATATCGACAGCGATTGAACTTTTGGAACATTTTTTACATCTTTTCTGAAGAAATTCATAGTACTTGAGATTTTTTCTCTAATTTAATTTGAACTAAGAAGTATTTTTCTCAGTCAACGCAGTTCAATGCCTCTGTCATCAAACATCAACAGACTCTGTACTACAACACGACTGAATGATGACGATATTTCAGATCTTGTTAACAAATGTTGCTAAATACATATTGGATTTAATTTTACTTGACACACGCATCGATAGTTAATTCCAAATACTCCTATAGTAATTTTATCATTGTTATGATTTTCTATTGATAAATGCTGATTTATTCTTACTTTAAAGGTTCATTTACTTTACGTACACTATAACTAACATGGATGAACTTCTTTGTAAACAACTTATAAACTGCAAATGTAACAATATGTTTATTTTTATTGATCATACTTTTTTCACGTTAGACAAGCGTATGTTTCTTCTAATTACGTCAACTTTGATGAGTTTTTCTAGTTACAAGGGTATTCGGGTTTACATTTACCGCATGCATTAAATTGTGAAGTTCTTTAGGCTTTATTATTCGACGAGTTTTACGATTATAAGAATTTCTTTGTATGATTTATAAGTTTTACTGTGATATACGACTTAAAACATTATAGTTATAGATAATGTGTGTGTGTATATTAACAAACTTATTATAGTTGAAGCAAATAAACTGTATGTATACTTTCTATGTTTTCTTATTAAATTACTAGCAAAAAATCGAATTCAGAAAATACGATTATTATTGTTGGTTTCATTATCAAAGATGAAAAATAATAAAAAAATATATGAAGTTTTATTAAACTTTGTAACAAGTACGACACTTATGCATAATATTATGTGTCTATTAGAATTTCTTGAAAGCTAAGTATCGTTCTATGAAGTTTTATAATAACAGGAATAAAAGATGGGCAAAAGTTCTGGTAGTAGGTAGAAGATAGTAATTCCTATTTTTGCACATTTGAGTAACTACACGAAAGAGAATGTTTAAAGGAATATGTGATATTTGTTTTAGCATACACGATTGAAAAGAGATTGTCGTGAATCTCATTAGCATGATATGAATGCCTTGTTTTATTTTGGGTCTCAAACTCTACTCTACATTATCTCATCCATTTGACACCATAGTCTCCGCCAATTATAAACTTATGCCACTCTTATTTTGTTCTGGTCTGAAATATCAGTTGAACAAATCGAATGAGACTACCTGATTTGGGGGATATATCTCCTTCGATATAATCTAAGATTCCATGTTCATGTATATCTTTTGATTACTGATTGCATGTTTTCAATACAACTAAAGATTTAATAGATTCATTTTTATCATTCATTTCCTTACATCAAAAATTAATAATATTTTTTTTTCTTACTTTGAGGAACAGATCATTGTTTCGAATACGTTTGTAATACCTCCGCGGCAGCGGTGCGGTATCAAGTTTTGAAAAAATATCACGGTGTGGCAGCGGTGGACTTTCAACCGCGATGGACATCTATGATTGGCATCTATATTAATATATATATATATATATATTGTTTCTTATTAATTTGAAAGAAAAAAAGATTTTTAAAATAAATATTTTTGCACACTCCATATGAGTACACATTCGATACTGTTTAAATATTTTTGCACATCCTATACTATCTAAACCCATTGTCAAGGTTCAAGAGCTGTATTAAATGGTGTATAATAAATATCAACAGTTGGTGATGGATCAACAGGTTCGCTTCGCGATACCAACGTCGATGCCAATGAACAAATCGACTAATTACTTCTATAGGTTGAACATCTTTATTATTAACAAGTCGTTGTTCTTGTTCATCTTCTTGTTGACTACGAACAGCTGTTTCAGTCTGAGGTGAATCAACTTTTGGAATTGGTCAACAAGAATTTCTATAGTGACCAATTATATGCATTAATACAGGCATTTAAGCAACATATGAATGGGTTGGATAAGAAAGATTAGCAGATAGAAGAGTTTTTCGTTCACTCTTTTTTATCTTCTTTCGTATCTTCGACCATATTAACAAATATCTGAAACAAATTAACATTGAGAGAATTATCTCTGAGATTTTGATTTTTTTTTCTAAATTTATTTTTATTGAAAATCATCAAACAGATAATATTTAAAGACGATCTTTTCGGCTATCAAATTTCTTTTTAACAATATAAAGAAATTCATCGGTAGTTAGAATTGTTGAATTACCATTCGTCATTTTTGCTTGATGTTTGGCAATTGATTAAAACTATTATTTTCACCATTTTTTTATTTACTAAATATTTGCTTACCTGTATTACTGGTGGACTTGTTGATACATCTTTCTCTTCAGAATTTTCTTCTTCAACATGATCATATTTTCTTTTTGCTTTGATTTGAAAAAAGTTCTTCTTCATTATCACTAAATTCTTTTTCATCATCGATTTGAAATCTTGTTTACCAGCTATTTCTCATTCAGATCGAATTAAGTCTGGTAATGATGTTCTGTCTAATGTTAATATCTACAATCAAAAAGGATCTTAAATAAAATATTTCATTGTTTATTTTTTTTTATCTTGTTAATCTTTTCTTTTTTGTGCAATAAGTTCATGTTGTCATAATGATTTATACTATTCAAAATGAACAACAAATGGACTTGATGTTGATTGTTGACGACGTTCAAGTCAATTATCCTATTTATATTAATAAATAAATAAAAACGTAGATCTTAATAAATAGGTTTTTTTCTTTACAATCTCTTTAATATCTTTCACATTTAAACCTTTTTTTTTTGTCTTCGTTCTTCAAATAAATTAACATATTCTTATACTTTTTCTAATTAACATCGAATAACTTTGCCAAAATTTTATTTTGTACTTTGCAAACTTTAATAAATTTTTCACACATAAGTATTAATGGATTAACAAGTTCTACAAATGTAACATGATGAACATAATGAACAAGATAAAGAAAGTATAATAAGTTCATAAAATTGATCGATAAAACCATCCTAAATAAAATAAATATTTGACATTTTTAAAAGAGATTAATTGTTGTTACTTATTATGCTCAATCATCGATTTGTAAGTTAGTTTATTTTAATGATCTATCAAAATTAATATATTGTGCTGTGAGACTTGCTGTTTTATAACGTTTATTGAAATTAGTTATATCAAACATTTCAAATAAAAATGGTAACACAGGTGTTACTTGACTAAGTTTAATTAGAAGACAAATAGAATGAAATCGTACTGAATAACAACGAGTTGTTAGTACTAATCTATCAAAACAAATATATTCAATTATATATAGACAAATAATGAAAGATTAGACAGAGGTAAACTAAAGCACGCAAGACGAAAAATTAAAGTGTAAAAGCGAACATTTTTTCTATTTGAATAATCTCCAATTTTGACTATAATTAAATCTAATGGTGATAATACCTTATTGTACTAATAATAAGTTCTGTAAGTTGATGAACGAATTGTTGAATTAATTTTTCTTTATTATTTTATTATAATCGAATAAAATTTCTAGATAAAACGAATGCATGAATAATAAATTGTCAATTATAAACACTCTGAGTACTTTTCTAAAAATATTTTTCTATTAAATTTAATTTAAAAAAAAAATTTTATTTACGATTTTTTTATATTTCGAATAGCTGTATGTAAATGAAGAGCAAGTTGTAGAAGAAAAACAAAAGCATGTTGATATGTAACTGTTCGAGCAAATGAATAAATGTTCAACTAAAGATGTTTGCATAAAATTAATTAGTGGAAGTGTTGTAGATCATGCAAAATTTGCAATATTTCAAATAATCCAAATATATATTCTATTTAAAAAAAATAAACAAATTTTCAATGAAATGACAAATTAACTCGTAAAACAACATCAATCACATTTGTTTTCGATATTGACACATTAAATGAAATAAGACGAACTACGTTCATCTAATGATTGTTGATCAAATACGAATTAATTTATTGAATAATAAAAACAAAAAGTTTTTAAAAAAGATTTTTTTTTCTTTTGTATTTTAATATTCTTTAACAAGTGTACTTGACGAGTATATTAGGCAAAACAATAAGAGAGCGAACATGTCGAAGAAGAATATTCAATGTATTTCGAACATTAATTAACGATATGAACTAATTTCATTAAATAGAATATTAAATAAAATTATTTTAAAGAAAAACAAATTCATCTAAAGTAAAGGTAAATATATTTTCAATATGAACTTATTTCTGCTTCTAATTTACTTGTTTAAACAAGTTTTATTCGAATAAATTGATATATTGCAGGTAATTATTGTTTAAAACATACACGAACAATTCTATTTAATGCTTAAAAAGATAATTTAGAAAAAAGTGAAAGAACATCCATTCAGGATCATCGATTGCACTAGTTTTTAATTGTTTGTTTTTCTTTTTCTTTGTTTTATCATCTGTATGAGATGATAAATCAGCATCATCATAAGCAGATTGAACAGCTAAACGAAAAGCACCTATTACATATCGAATTCTGTTTAATGTTGCTTGATTTTTCTAAACTTAAAAATAAATATTTATTAAGCAATATAATGAAAAGTTTTCATCTGAATTTGATTATTCTATTTTTCAATAATTTCACTGGCAACTTGTTCTTGTTCTTCTTTACTTATCCTAGTGAATGTACTGAGCTAAGGGTGTACCCATGTACTGAGAAAGTCTCAGCAAGATACCTGATATAAGTACTTCGAAAAATTTCAGTAATTATACTGACGTAGATACTGCATTGGGTACCACCCATAGCAGTATGTTTACTGAACAAGTACTCGTATGGGTATCCGCACTTGTAATTTTATTGAGGAAAGCTCTGCAGAGTATCCTAGATTTGTCGCGTTCTATGTAGCAACTGTTCATTCACCGTTTTCTTTTGCACACATGGCTTCGTATAAACAACTCGACAAAACATAAGAAATTAATATTTTTTCATACTAATTTTTTCTAGATTATTTCTTGACTATTTACTAATCGAGAACATGCCGATCTCGATCATAAATTGAGAGAGGACTATCCTGAAGTGGTCTGATGAAGTTTCGACCAATTCAGATCCGGTCAGATTCTGAAATTTGACCTGCTTGAGTTTTAAGAATTGGAAAATTAAATAAAATCAAATTAAAAATATGTCGTAAATCGCTTTGAGAGAAACAAAAATGAAAAAAGTCAAAGGTTAGGTTCGATCATCAATATACTACAATTTTGGCAAAAGGGTACTTAAAAATACTGTGCAATAGTACCCAGTTGAGTATTTGATTAGTACCTTCAAGTATCCATTTACTAAAGGCTTTACAGCAAGTGCCCACTCCACTACCTTATATGTACCCAAAAGTAGTGTTAAGGTACTTCAGCACCCGAAAGTTTCTGTGACATACTAGTAGCAGGGTACTCTTTCAGGTACGCTTAGCTCAGTACATTCACTAGGATAATGATTCACCATTTTCGCCTTTCTGTGAAAATCGATTCATTTATATTTTTATCTAAGAAAAAAACCTCTACTTCATCAGATAATGGTTCTATTTCATCAAGTTGTTCAAGTAATTGATGAATTTTTTGTTCAAGATCATCATCCAGAATCGATTCATCATCTTCATTAACATGAAAATTAAGTAAATCAGCATCTTACTTTTTTTAAAATTTATAAAATTCAGAATCAACTCTTGCTAAATCAGTTAAATCTTTTTTATGTTGTTCAACTGCCGAAATTCGATTTTCCTTCGATCTAAAAATCAAACAATATCAAAGATAAAAAAACAAAAAGAAGTTTTTCATTTACTTTTTCTTCTTTTTCATATCTTTCTTTAGTGATATTGCCATTAGAGGTTTTATCTCAAAGAATATCTCATTACGGATCAATAATGATCATCTATGCCACTATTTTTTTTTCTTTGAACATATCAATAAATGTTTATTATATATAAAATTTTTTTTTTCCTTTTCATTAATCTGACCTATGCACACATACTAATTATACACATAAAAAAATAGATCACTGATTAGCATGATAAATAGACGGAAAATTGTTGAAATTATGGAAGATTATATTGAGCTATAGAAGCGAGTAACCATTTGAGTAACATAAACTTTATGTATTTGATCTTTTCATTTTATTTCATTGTCACGAAGTGCATTATTATCAGTTAAAACAGCTGAAAAAACATAATTGTTCTGGACATTCTAAACGAAATATAATTCCTTGAACAAGTCCTTCAGAACGAGGAATACGTGAACGAAGAAAACCATCATGATAACCATATGTTGGATCACCTAACAATATTTTATAAATTTCTAATGGAACTATTATTTGATGTAACAAGCCATTGAATACTAATTACTGGTAAATGATAAGCTGTTGCTTGAATAACTTTTAATGTTAATGGACAAACAAGTGGTGAATTTTCATTTAATGAATGAGTTATTAAATGTGTTGTTGATTGATCAACTGTATTTGAACAATGAATATTAAATATTGAAATAAATTGTTCGAAGATAATCTACAAATAATATACGAAGTTCGTGATAAGGAAGGTGTCTTCTCGTTTACCTGTTATTCTGCTTGGAGACTAGATTTATCAAGAAGCATCATAGATGGTGATGATTCTTTGATTGTCATTCTATGTTTTTGATAGTTTTGTTGATCGATTAATCTGTTGAATAAATGATCATGAATGAAATATTTATTAATTTTAAAATTATTACTAAAAGTTGCTAATTGAAGTTTAGTGGTTGCATCAACAAGAAATTCTCTTGTTTTAACTAATTGTTCGACATAAACACATACTATGTTAAATCTCGATGTAGAATACCTTGTTCAGATAAATGCTTTAATTGACATTGTATATCAATAGAAATATATTGATTGATTTATTATTTCAATTAGTCCTGTTTGACATTGTTTTTCATGATGAATCGAATGTGATAAATAATCTGTTTATGTATGAATTGATTCGAAGAGATTTGTTGGAATTGGTGATGCTATTTTGATTTTAACAGCTAAAAATAAATCGAAAAAAACAAATTTTTTAAAAATTAATATGAAATAATTTACATGAACTACTTTGAGTTGGTGTAACGATAACATCTTGTTTTCCATTTGCTGATCGAGTAAGAATTGATGATGAATTTGTTGATCAGAACGAAGACTTTGAATTTTTTCACCAATTTTTCTATTATGTTTATTTATTTTTTTATAATTTTGTTCAATACCTAAAAAGTAAAACTTAAAAAAGAAAAAGAGAAAAAAGAAGTAGATATAACCTGCTCCTTCAATATATTATTTTGATATTGTTGTTGCTTTGAAAAAGTTGTTTTTCTTTTATAATTAGGTGTTTTTGTTCTTATTTTAATATCTTCATTATTTTCCGTTTCATCATGATCTTCTTCATCGATTATATTTCTTCTACTTTTTCATCGTTTTTTAATATTTTGATTAATTACTATTGATTTTTTTTCTTTAAATATTTGTTGAAGAGTTAAATTAGTTGCCGATCGAGTTGATGTTTTCATAGATTGAATAGCAGGTGAATGAGGAAGTAATGTACTTGTTAAAAGCATTGTATCAATTAACGAAGAACGTATTATCTTACTATTTGTTTTTGTTGTTGATGGTATTAATCATGAAAAAACTTTATTACTACTTGAATATTAGTATAGACCTTGAACCGATAAAACAGTATTAGCAGTGTTTCTAATGGAATTTTAAAACAAAATGTACAGTACACGCTATTTGGGATGAGCAAAATGTACACAGTCATTTACATTACCGAAGTAAAGCGAAAGAGCAAAAAGAACAGAAAAAGTTCTAGTATAAACTAAGATATATTATAAAATTGTCCAGAAAAATGTACACACTGCTTTTTTAAGCAAAGTGTACAGCAGTGTGTATTTTCATAGCTGCAGATGTTTGTACATTATGCTTTTGCAGTGTACACTTGCCATTAGAAACAGTGAGTATGAGTGCCTGAGGTGGTGATACAAAGCATAGGGAGAAGTCGCAATCAATGTTAAAATGCACTAATAGAATGACGTGTTTAAAAATGCTTTTGTCAGAGAAAAAAATTTTGATGAAAATTATTTGAAACCAAAATTGTTTAAAGCTACATCTTTGTTTTTTAAAAAAACTGAGCTTCACGCGACGGATGGCGCCAGTTACTCGTTACTGCTTGAAAGCAACATTGAATTACCCTGTCATTATAATGTGTATTGTTATTGCCGTAAAGGATTCAGTTCATCGTGTCTATCAGTTTTTATCTATTTAAGACATTATAGTTTTCAAATGAGCATTAATTGAATTCTTGATGAAATACAATTGTATATTAAAATATTATTTTTGAAATGTAAAGCATAATTTTTTTATTTTTTATTTATTAATATGAATGAATAACAGAAAAATAAATAAAAAAAATCACACAGAAAATGAAAACTCAATTTAAAAAAAAATAAGAATTTGAGTATAAATTATTCATAATATTGATTGTTGAGAATCCTAGAAAAAAAAAAGAAATGGGTTTATTTTTGGAAGAAATTAACAAAACTTGCATATCATAAAACAATATTGACGAAATATTCTCGTCGTATGACACTTGTTTTCGATTTTTAATAGATGTTAAATCCTTTTGTTTAGCAGCTTTTTTCTGTGGTGTGGATGTCGTAGGTTGAGAGTAAGATGTTCGAGATGAAATAAAATTCTAAAAGATACATAAAAGAACATTAAAACATGTTTTTTTTGTTAACATACAAAAGATGATTCTGAAGGAATATCAAAAGAATTAATTTTTGAAGATTGCATATTTGTCTTCCTATTTGAGAATCCAACTTCTTCTAATGTACTTAACTAAACGACAAGAAAACAAAAGTGATTCATAAAGATTCTTTAGACATATTGATGACAAGTGTAAGCTTTTTTCTCACTCTCTGACCGAAGAGAAACATCTTCTAAGCCTAGCGCTATACGATCTTCAAGATGCTCCTCATTTTCCTATTCTACTCTACTAATTAAAGTACGACAGCCTTATAGTTCTTCACTTCACTGTCCTGCAGGTTCTTCCTTAAAAAGCTGTCGTCCTACTCCTACATATGTAGGAACAATGCAAGAGAGAGCAATCTCTCTGCAGAGCAGGTTCTACGTCTTGGAACATTCCAAGATCCGTACATAATATGCGATGAACCTCTGGACGACATTTCTAGAGTGAACTCTATACAAAGAATCGCTATAAATCAAACTAGTGAAACAGTAACTACAACGTCAAAGAATTGTTCGTTAGTATTTACGAAAGCTTCTTTGCAAACCTTGACATCCTCTGAATATGTTGCATTCGTGCGATATGACATCATCCCATGAAAAAATTGTACAATATTCCAAATCAAAGTGCACAACATTAACTAGCGATGTCTCGTTGAAAAGTTACAAAGACTACCGTCACATAACCCTTGAAAAATTAGAGATAGTATGTAAAGGTAGCAGTCTAGGACTGACACTGGGTATATATATTATAATTAAACACAATGCTAAATTAGTATTAAGTGTTACTGCTAATGGAAAAGTATGAGCATTATTTGTTAATTTATTTCTAATGCGACATCTCTATTCTTACATCTTCTGATATACTTCTCAGTACTTTATTGTACTTCAAAGTACTTCAAGAAACTTTTGAAGATACTTGATGCTACTTGATCATACTTGAAAAGTACTTGAAGCAACTTCCTGATACTTTTAATGTACTTGGAACTACTTCTTATCTACTTGAAGTAACTTGAACTTACTTTTGTACTTTTACGTACTTTTCGATTTCAAGTACGCTGTTTCCCTCTTGGTAAAGATTCAATTCTTCTTAACTTCAAAAATAGACTGGTGGACTTTATTGATCAATAAGAAAAAAATTTAACAACTAATACACTTTTGATCTCTAATAATACTGAAGAAATAAGCGAAGTTTCTTAATTAATTACTCAGATTCTGAACAAGGATTATTTCAAGCATTGCATAAGTCTTTTATTCGTTTATGATGGGTCATCAAATTAATTTAGATATGTATGAAAATGTCAAAATAATTGCAATGAATTTTATATAGCCGTCGATTTTCAATGACTGATTAAGAACAGCAGTTCGATATAAAGTTCTGTTACAAATAAATTAGATAGTTTGAATCATGTAATAGTTGTATACTTCTTTTGAGACGATGCAAGATTCCGTAAATTCTGAACCCCTAAAACTCTTGAAAGTGAAATTACGCTTACAAAATAAAGATGAGGAGGCCACAGAACAGAAAATCCAAGGAACACACGAAATTAACAGAAATCATGGAACTCACAGGAGTCAAAGTACTGACGCAACTCGCGTTGTGCACAATTCAAGAAGCATGCGCATCATGTGTCAATTGCTTGCTGCGATTGACAATTACGCGAAACGAACAGATATCAATGCAAACAGATAGTCATTGATTACCTTACACCAATATTCAAAGACACCTACATTCCAAAACTCACACACGCACTGATAGCTATACATACGCTCAGACATACCCATGCTGAATCGCACAAACTAAACCAAAACCCATATACTCTGATATCACTGCAACTACCCACAAATAGTAACGGGTACGTCCACGCTCGCATTGATGCATACATGCATACTATGAGCCAACTAGACGGAGTGTGCTGGAGCTTCCAGTCTTCTAACAGCTATTCAACTTTACCCTATTCAAAAGGCCCTCCAAAAAGAATTTCAGCTAATAAAAATGGTTTCGATATGATTTTCAAATGGCTCTCTTATTCTGAACTGTTTTTCAGTGTTTCCACATTCAAATGAATGAAAAATCTTTCATAAGATGAAAAAGATCTTCAGGAATTCGTTCTGCTATTTAAAGTATCCGAATTTATCACGACAACAACAACCACAGATCCATACACATACCATACCAATATATCTACTATATCCATAACCAAACCTACACTTCACATCCAGAACTTCACTCTGTATGAGCCAGCTGAGGACTGTAGTGAGTTACATGTAGCTTGAGGAGCTCTATAGAGTGCTGTAGTCAGAGAATTTGAATGAAAATTCAGCGAAACAAACAAAAGCAATAACATTGATTTTTCACCAGAGGCAAAAAACACTCAAGCAAAGGTTTTCCCTGATGATTCGCTCCAGTTCATGAAACATAGCTGATTCGATGCAGATCGATAAGCTTTATCGAATGATATATGCTTCGTTTGAGTAGAAACACAAGCTCACTCATGAGAGTAGTTGCATCGGCACCGTTCTATAGGAGCTGGTTGTGAAGCGATTGTACTTTGTCTAGTACAACCTAAAATCGTTTTCTTTGGTAACTATATTCTTGGACTGGTCTGAGAAGGAAAGGTCTCTGACTGTCTCCCCAAGTTTCTCCATAAAAAGTACTTGGATTAGTCAATTCAAGTGCTTTTATATCTCAGATTTGAAAAGACTACCTGCTGAGACTGCTTCAGAAACAAGTTATAGTCAAAAAGCTTTTTCCGTAATTACTATATTCTTACTAAAATTTTGCTGTGGTTAAATAATGAACACGTTGATCAAAATTTGGAAATGTAATGTTTTGGTGCACATATTTCACATATTCATTCATTGTTGAATTGCATGTCTGAATTTTGTCTACCTACATGTGAAGGTAATTAAATAGTTTTTGAAAACATTTCTTTGATTGTATATGTCAATCTCATACTCATAATCGAATGCTTTTTTTCCGAAGTAGAAGGGGTTAATATAACAAAAAGCATAGAATGACACATAAGCATCAAAGATTTGAAATAATTGTACATATGCTTTATTCATTCTCGTTATAAATTTTAGTATACTTTGTTCTTTTTTTTTCAGATACTTTATTCAATCATCTTATTTATTAGATAATTAAATAATGATGTTATTGTATCGCAACTTTCGATGTTTCCTATTATACTTTATAATTGAACAATTTAACATAGAATATGTAACAACAAGTTGGGTGTCATCAGACTCTTCTAACATTCGCCTCCTAGGACCTTTTCTAAAACCATCAAACACATCTGACATTACCGATGTCTCTGTCCAATCTTGGAATATGTTTAAAGCAGCAATGTTGCTTTCTTATCAATATAATATAACAATCGAAGGAGAATTCATAGGATGGCAAGCAGAGCAAACTACTGGTGATATAATAGATGCTATGGACATTATGTGTCGTGCAATATCTGTTTCAAATGTTGTTGGTGTCGTTGGCCCATGGTTATCAAGAGAAGCTCAGGTAATTGCTCCTTTTGCTACAAAACTTGGTATACCTGTTATATCAAATTCTGCAACTAGTCCTGGTTTATCTGATAAAAATGCTTATCCTAATTTTTATCGTACAGTTGCTTCGGACTTTGTAGCTGCAGTAGCCCTTGCAAAATTATTCATTCGATATAATTGGACATCATGTATAATAATTTATCAAAATGATGCATTTGGAACTGGTGGAGCCAATGCTATAGTTAAAGCATTTAATAATAATGGCTTAACAGTCAGCCAAATGATTGTATTTGATATTACTATACTTAGTATT